TTGGACAATCCAGCTCTACAGACGATCCGTCATTTACTCACCCACTATTTGTGGAAGGAGGAGGTCAACGATGATAAATTTTTGCCAAAAGTGGCATGGGCAACAATAACTCAACCGAAAAGGAATGGAGGATTAGCTATACTGGACCCTGAGCGTCAAATAGCAGCACTTCTTGCGAGATGGATTCCATGGGCTGTGCTGCACAGCCCTTTAACACCATGGAGACAATTAGCAGAATTCTCCATTTTTTCTTGGTTAGAATGGACAGATCTGTGCTGTCTGTGGTTGGCAATACTCAATCCTGACTACCAAAGAAAGAGATTGCTCTCTGGGATATGGGCTGGGATATTGAGAGCTTGGAGGAAGGTATGTCCAAAACTGCAAACCCCACCGCTGATTTATGAAAGACTGTTGACACAGCCGCTGTTCAATAATCCCTGTATTCTCAATCATGAAGGGCTACCGTTTCGATGCTTTGGGCCACGGGAGTTTGGTAATGCATGGATGTCAAGAGGAATTGGTACAGTGGCAGATATATGGGATGTGACAAATGGCTAATGGAAAACAGCTGAAGAACTGGCCCCGAGGTTACAGGGACTGTGGCGCCGAGAAGAACATTTGCATCAATTGCAGATTGCCGTACCGCAACAATGGGTAGACTTGATGAGAATAGGGCCAGTGCCGGTGAAAGGGATGTGGTACAAGAGTTCTCAGCAAGAGACGCCAGACCATATTTGGAGGATTGAAGACTACTCGGAAGTGGTGGACATCCCCGCCACCTGTTGGAGAGTGAGTGGAGGAACTGATTCACTGGGGGAATCCTTGCAGCTCTCTGAGGAACAGTATCCTCTGCCACAGCTTGACCAACTGTTGCCGGTCTGCGTGCTGGAACAAAAACAGACTTATAGACCCTTTTGTTTGAAAACACCGGCCTATGGGCTAGTGGTGGATCCGAGAGATTGGGCGTGGAACCACCCGATATGTCATTCCGAACGGGTTGGACTATCTGAGTATACAACTAAAATTGGATACCAGATAATGACACCTCACACTGATGTCAATTGGGTGGTAGCAAGAAAGTGGATGGCAACGGGTTGGATAATGGACACGTCCACCAGATTGGTAACAGCTCTTCCGAGGTTTTGGAAACAAATAATGGAATTGGTGGTGAGTAAGCACGCAAGCGTGCTCTGGCTGGTGATGCACTTGGCACTGCCGACTAATACTTGGTGTGCCAGAAGAACAGTAAAAGCAACCCCTGAATGTGGTTTGTGTCATGGCACTAGGATGGAGGACATACAACACTTTCTGTTATATTGTGAACTTCCAGACCATTTTGGGATTGGTGGAGACAGTCAGGTGTTCCAGTTCCTGATGTGGATTCTCGCTGGGGGGATGAATTCATCCTCCTTGGAACAACAGCCAGGCGAACCAATCCACAGACTCAATTTGCTCATGCTGAAGAGACAATAAGAGGTGCCATCATATGGACACTTTGGAACCTGAGAAACGCCAGACTTAGAAAGAATGAGCAATTGACACTGCCGATGATCAGAGCAGAGATCAAATATCCAATCAAACAAGCAATATTGGCTGACTGGGAAGACCGAGTTCAAAAGAAAGGATTTTCAGCCAAAGCAGTAAAATGGTTTGGGAGCAGATGGGGGAATTTCTCGGGATTGGCCAAGGTGGACACAACTCAAGATGGAACACTTGTCATTAGTTTCTCTAACTTCTTTGTATAGGCAGCTGGTTCAAGAAGGCTTTTTGTTAAGTTTCTCTAATTGTTTAGCTCAGAGTTTGCCCTTTTTCTTTGATTTGGTGTGATTAGATTATAGGTTTTCGACTCTTGTTCAAATTTTGAATGTGGTAGGTGTAACAGTGAAAGATAGGAATAGCTAATAGGAAAGTTGAAGGAGGGCTTAGTGTTGACAGGTAGATAGACTATATAGTTTAGTTTCTGGTTTCTCAACTTGCTCTTGTTTTCTTCCATTACATTGCCTAGTCAGAAATCGGAATGACGTGAAGCTGGTCGTCCATTTCAAGAGGAACAGCCCACACAGTTCTTTCACCGTGGCAGGGATGGGTTTGGCCAGAAGTGCCGTGCCCAGCCCGATATTGTCACGTTATATATGTAAGGGACGCCGGACCCGGTTTCCAGCAATGAATGGAATTTTCTTAAAAAAAAAAAAAAAGAAATAGCTGCACCTAAAAGGGGGCCTTGCTCAGTTGGTACCCTCATGAGCTGTTGAAACATAGACCTGAGCTCGAATCCAGATGCAATCTGATGAAGGGAACATTATAATTCTGAATTTCCGGGGCCGGTCAGTTCAGTGGTGATATCTCAAGGCCCTCGACCTCAAAAGAAAAGGCCAGATTTGCGAAATACCCCTGAAAGGTCACATATATTCCAAATATAATTCCCTAAAAGTTGTTAGTAGAGCGGACTACCCCGCTGAAGTTTGAAAAGCTTGTCGAATGCCCTTTTCGATTTACATATTGCATTCTAGCCCCTGTCAGGGCATCACCAGGTTCATGCTATAGCCCTGGAAGGGGCAGAACCCAAACTTGTGCAGCAGCCCCCCAGGGCCACAGGGGTAGATTGGAAAGTTGTCAATACAAAAGGGCATTAGACAAACTTTTGAAATTTCAGAGGGCCGCATCTTCTTGGGGTCTTAGCATAGATGTGAACTTTGAGGGTTTTTTGGCAAAACCCCCCCCCCCCCCGCCCAAAAAAAAAGCAAGGAATTAAGAAAAAGATGCACTTTTGGATCCGGATTGTTCTTGGGCTTGCTGATGGCCACAGGTGTCCTTTTTTTCACACTCCCGGAGACAGCCTATGGCAACACCTCTTTTTGTTGACACCAATCCCCTGAGAACTTCCCTGCTGATGGCACACTCACACTACAGTCTTCCCCCGAACAAAACACACGTGTGTTATTTACAAATGGAACGCCCGGGGTTCGTTGTATTCGTATACAATAATACAACGCACAAACACATGCACATGCACATGCACATGCGTTATACTACGGATATAGGGTATCAACTTTCCAAAAACGCCCCCCCCCCCAAAAAAAAGAAAAGAAGAAAAAATAAGAAGTATATGCCTTGAACAGGTACCTCCAGTCTTCCGGCAAACAGGACCTTCAGGTAAGGCACACACACACACACACACACACACACACACACACACACACACACAGAGAGAGAGTGCGGAACACTGGAGGGCACACCCGCTTGAAAACGAGCTCGGCACTGCAGATGGGCATGCATGTGTTCTATCTGAATAGAACACCCGTTGGCGTGGGCGCTTTTCACGAATTATCCCTTTTCCTTGAGACTTTGGGGCTCGCCAGAGCACTGTTTGTAAATGCAATTTTCGATAGTTTCTCATCGCCACACAGTCTTTTGAAAATGAAGATGGGAAAATAATTTGGGGTTGACAGAGACAGCTTCTGGATACCTTCTTTGGAAAGTGGTTCCATGCCCAGCTTGCAACTCCGATGATTTCTACAGTTCTTGCATGCCCATCGTGCAACTCCTATCATCCTATGTTTTCAACAGTAACAGTCCTCCGCTCCGCTATCGATTTCTTATTGGAATTTTTTGGTGAATGGGCCTGAGGTTGGGACAGCCGAGCGCGTGTCCCATCCTCAAGTGCTTTTGTTTGTTTCCGCTTGCATTCATGAGTCCGTGCATTCATGAGTCTGTGCATTCAACGGTGCTGTGCGGCTAAAAGGGGGGGAAATGTCGAAGGGGCGGCAGTCGAATTTCTTCTGACAGCAGTCCAAGTTTTAGCATTTTCTCAATGGTGTGGAGAGCCCCTTTGGAGCGATGTGCACTATTCTCATGCGTTGATGCAGAATATTCTCAACCTTTTTTCTTTTCTTTTTTTCTTTTTTTTCTCTTTTTTTCTTTTTTTAACAACCCCCTGCAGTGCTAGTGGCGCTGGTAAAAGCAGACACCACTAGCACCCGGGGAAAGGCTCCATCTATTGGTGGGGAGAATCAACTGCTGGAAAACGGGTCCAGCGTCCCTTATACAAAGGGAATACATAATAGATCTAGAAGATATCAGGACCATAGACTGGGGGCAACCTGCCAGCTTAGATTACTCGTTCCTCCAGAGGGAAAACTGTGCAGGTTGTTGAGAGGAAGGGAGAGTACCTCTTCGCCCTGTACCAAGGGCCAGATATCTTCTTCGGAACACTAGTACCACCCTCTCCCTTTTTTGCCTGAGCTGTTTTTTGAGGAAGTTACTGCCATGCATGAGAGATTACCCGCAAAATAACTGAGCTGCCGTACTTGGGAGACTACTCTATTCTGTTGCTGCCTAAGGGCACCTCTTCAACCCTATAGGGGGAGCCTGATTAGCCTGAAAAATCTAGTGCCCTTTAGGCCAGATACGAAACAACTCTTTTCTTACTCCTGCCCAAACCATTGCATATCAACAATTGCTGTCGCTGCCGGGGAGAACATATCTGGAAAATCTCCTAGACTCTTCATCGGGATGTCGGGATTGACCTGAAGCCATTCGTGGAAAACGAGATTGCTGTCCTTTGGGCGTCGTTCGACACTCCTCGGGGACGCGATTCCGAGGATTCCGTCGTCGTTCCACCTGTCCTCGGAGCCGATTTTCGGAACAGAAATGTGAAAACACTCCGAGGACAAATCCTCGGGCTCCGAGGATTTCCCAGCCAAATCGTCCTCGGGTTCAAGGGACCTCGCGAGGTCCTTTGGAGCCCGAGGATCCGCGATTATCGGGGTGTCGGCGGCGCGTCACGAAGGGGCAACGGAGGTCGAAAGTGGTCCAGAGGTGGTCCGGAAGGCGAAAGACGGACATCCCGAGGCGTGGGCGTCCAAAAGGTCAAGTAACGGCCTCGTCGTTTTACCGTTGGCGGTGATCGTCGCGGGACGGCCCTGTCGGTTCGTCGGGTGTCCCGGCGGAGGTGCACCGGCAAGCATCGGACGTCTTTGGCCGGCTCCTGCAGTGGTCGTGCCGTTCCCGCGTGCTCCACAACGGTCGAAAAATACGTATTTTGTAGGCGCCCTACTGCAGCCACCATGGAGATTGCATCAATTTCATTCGTTGGCGTCTTCCCTCTCGCACCGTTTGTCTCCGTTTGCCGCGCTTGCCCACGTGCAAGCGCATCTTCTGTTTCTGCTGCCCTGTAGTTCATGGCAGACCTGTACCGCAGGCTGCCTTTGCTGCTGCTCGCCGTTTTGCTGCTGCTTGCCGTTGTCGTGTTCCATATTTGCTGCCTCGTGCGCGTTCCAGGGAGGAAACAGACGCGGCGAACGCCGAAGACGGCTAGGAAGATGGAGAGGGTACAGACGAGGACCACGCTGTCCGTTGGGGCTGCGGGGTCGTCACGTCAGCGCTGCAGAAGTGCGGAAGCAGTCAGTCGGCCGTACGACCCCGCACTGTACAGCCACCTGCCGTCCCACGACATACCGTTGCCTCCAAGTGACGATGACGGCGACGACCCACGATGTTCTACCCTTCCTCTGGGCAGCGGTTCGACTCAGGATTGGATGGGGAGCCAGCTGCACAGGCGGGCATTGACGACGACGTACACTGATCTGCTAGAGGGGTGTGCCCCGGCTGGTTATGACACAGGACTGGTGGATCTCAGCTTCGGATTGAGGTCCGGAAGTGCCGGGGAGGCGACGCGCACCGTTATCGTGAACCCAGCTTCGGGCACCACCCATGCACTGCCTCCAGTGACAACGCAGACTGGGCGATCAGTTCCGTGTAGAACGATGACAGTAGGTGGCACAGTGGACGGACGACGCCCAACGAAGAGTGGTCAGCAACGGAGGTCGTTGGTCGAAAGTTTTGGGATGATCATCGCGGCAATCGCGTGAAGCGAGCACGGCCGGCATAACGAGAGGGGTGGCGAAGATTAGCGTGGGGGCGGATGATATATTACGCGATGAAGACAGTGGAGTTGCGGAGGATTGCGAGGCGGACGACGGGGCCTGTAAGGACGACGAGGAGGACGACGAGGACATGGAGATTCGTCCACTGGGGAGAAAGCGGGGAGTGTCGACGGCCGCGAAAAAGTTGCCTGAAACGCGCATGGGGCGGAGAGGGAAGAAGGGTGTGGAAGATGCGTCGGCTGGCGAGGGATCGAAAAGCCGGGATTTTTGGACCGTGGAGCACATGATTGCTCTCATCCGGGCAAAAAGAGACCAGGATTCGCATCTTGCCGGTCTCGCGCACACTACGGGAAGGATGAAGACGAAGACATGGAAGTGGGACGACGTGGAGAAGAGGCTGGTGCACATGGGGGTCACGAGTAGAAAAGTCATCGATTGCGGGAAGAAATGGGACAACGTGTTCCAGCAATTCAAAACTGTGCACAAGTTTATGGGAGAATAGGGGAAGCCAAATTTCTTCACATTGACGCCAGGCGAGAGGAAGGAGCGGGGGTTCGATTTCCGGATCGATGAGCGTGTGTATTCGGAGATGGCGGCGATGACCAGGAGCGATCACACCATACACCCCACCAAACTCGCCGACACTGGTGCAACGGGAGGTGTTCAAATGTCGGGCCCACGCGGGGGTCGGAATGAATCCGGTGGTAGTGAGGGGGGCGGGGATGGACAGGACGACGATCAGGGGTCCACGAAGGATTCTATCAGCGGCGGTGGTGTTGGCAGGGGCAGCAAACGGAAGAATGTGAGACAGCAGACCTTCGACACGATTGTAGACGTCATGAAGGAGCACGGGAGTCTGATGGCGTCAATCGTGGACAGCGCGAGCAAGAGACAGTGCTCAATTCTAACCAGGCAGTGCGACATTCTGGAGCGAGAGGTTGAAGTGCAGAAGGAACACTACTTTAAGGCCAACCAGGCGAACTTGATGATGTGCGAAGCACTTATGGAGATTGCTAAAGCGATCCGCGAGCGATCGTGACATCTCCCCGCCATGCGTGCCGTCATTGTCCTGTGTGCTACAGTGACGAGATGTGCTGGTTGTGTACAGACGGCTGGTTGTTTTTTGGGCGCACGGTTTTTTTTTTTTTTTTAGGTATGCATTTATTTCATGATTTCATTGTAGAATGGGTATGATTGCTGTCATGCCCCGCGGCGCGTCCTTCGGTGTTGCGCTACGTCGTCTGATTACAGAATATTAGGACTGTTGTAGTGAGCCGTCGCCGGCACACATGGATGGCGAGCTTCGGGGGTTTCAGAGAAGGGTGTGATTTTCGGGCGGGAGGGGGTCGTTGTTTTGGCGGGCTTTTTAGACCTCCGCCAGGATCCTTCTGCGCGCCCACTATGGATGTTGGCCATGCAAGGGATGACATGCGCCTGCGGAGGAAAACGGACCATGGGCGAGCGACGAAGGGGCGGGCTGTAGTGGACGGGGACTCATGTCCACGGTGTACTTCCACATCGTTGTACATGGAAAAAGGACATTCCGCCCGCCATTTCGTACCGCAGTGGTTCCTTACCCACGGATCCCTCTCGCACCGTCTGCCTACCTGCTCATCGTTGCGCGCCTGCAACTCCGCGTCCCGCTCCACGCTCCCACATCGTGCTGCGCGGACAATGCCCCTTCATGCGCATCAAACAGGCGGTCCTTTGTCCCCGTCGCGCCAGCTTTCCTATTCGCCCGCGTGTCGCGCTTCAAGGACTTGAGCGCCGCCTCTGTCCACGCGTTCGTTCGTCGATGTCATCCTTCGTGGACGTGCTCCTCCGCCAACGTGTTTCGTCGCCTTCGATCGCCATTTCGGTCGCCATCGTCGTCGCGGCTCCACGACCACTGCCCCGTCATCTGCATCGTCCACATTGTCCTCCGTCCATGTGGAAGCACTGGGAAGCAGTCACAGGCGTCCTTCTTCCGCGCACTCTTTCGTCGAAGGAAGCCTTCGTTTACGTGGTCGTTGTTGCCGATTTGCGGACCAGATGCCCCCACGGGGAGTCTCAGCGAGGGGCAGGAAAGATGGCGGGGTGGGCGACGGTGGGGAAACCAACAAAGGGAGAGGCCACATACCGAAGTGGAAAAGGCAGCGCATCGATGACGCGAGCTCCTCACAAACTGAGGACTTCCTCACAGACGAAGTGGCTATGGTGGACGCGCAAGGGACGACAGGGGTCGTGAGGTTGGGTTTCAGGCGGGATGGAGTGTCGAGGGAGCAGCTGCAAGCAGCGAGACGCAGCGTTGTTGGCAGTGCTGCCGGGACGGTGCCAAGGTCCCCAAACACGGCAGGGGTTGTCGTCACGGCCGTGCGGGTCGCGGGACAAATTTTGGCGGCGGCAGGCCAAGGTCAGCCACGTCAGCCACTCCCCCTGCAACACGTGTTGGCGACAGGGGGAGGGCACATGGCGACCACGCAAAAGGGCGACACGACGGCTACCGCCAGTCAGACGGCGGCGGCAGACCACAAAGCTAAAGGCAGAGTCGTCGAAGGCGCGGAAAGGGTGGGGTTCGACGACATTGGCCGTGACGATGGCCGAAGAGACGGAAAGCGGGAGGGCAATGACGGCGACGACCGTCCACTTGTGTCGAGGGGGAAGGGAGCGCCGAAGGAGGACGAGCTGCAAGAGAAGGCCAAGTTGTGGGTTGATTGCGACGCTTTCTGGGGTCAGGGCCCCGGGAAACCTCTGAGGGAGGCGGTAGGCGAATGCACCGACTACTTCGTCGCCGTCGCCAACGGAGACGCAGGAGCTGAGCCACCTTCGATGCTCATCATGCCGCCGAACGATGTGCCTCGCTTCAAGATCGACGACCCGGCGCAGCGTGAACCGGCTCTCCGCAGAGCRMGCAGCGTGGAGAGAGTAGTGCTGCGCACCATCCACGGTTGGATCTTTAAATCGCAGTCGAGGTGGACTGGCTTCTGTCGTGCAGAGTCCTACATCACGGTCGACTTCGCCACGGACCTCGCATGAGCAGTTTGGCAGGCCTTGGAATGGTCGAGAGTGGTATCCCCTGCACTCGTCTACCACACGGTGGCGATGAAGATGGACGTGCCCCTGTGGTTCGCGGGGGTGAAGATTGAGGACTGCCCGGAAGACGACGACATGGCGGCCCGGCAGGAGGCGACAGTTCTTCTGCTGGAGGAGTGCTGGATAGATGCGCTCTAGTGCTGACAGTGGGCGGATGGCGGGCGCGTAAAACAGGAGAGGTTGTCCAGGCTGGATAACTGTCTGCGAGCGTTGTTGTGCGCGGTCATGTGGATCATGCGCATGGGAGGTGACGACGACCGATCGCATTACGAGGCATGGTCGTACGCGTCCATGGTCGCGAAACTCACGATGATAGCGGCGGGGTCGTACATCTTCAACTGGCGCCGACACGTGGTGGACTCCGCCAACCTCGTCCTCGATCGTCTAGGGAAGGCCCACCTCACGCTGGGAGATTACCCGCAATGCATTCCGGAGTGGTGTGATTGCGGGTTGGCGTTCGGGCACAATGCTGCCCTCAAGAACGCGGCGGAGGCCGCAAAACACGGGTGGATCCGCAGCGGGCCCGAGGCGGATGACGATGGAGATGATGGCGAGTGACACGTCATCTCGAGTACATGGCAGCGGGTTGGTGCGCATCGTCGGCGCTTCATCGACGGTGGTGACGAGAGGAGGAAGTGTGCGCCTTCAAGTGGACACGGTAGCGCAGAGGCGAGACGGGTGTTGCCATGTGCTGGGGGTGGGGGGTGTGGCGAATAGGTGAGGTGGCAGGTCCTGCGCGGCAGTGTGTTGAGGCGGAGGTGCGGAAACATCTCTCACCGCGTCCAAGATAAGGGTGGCGAAGACTGCGCGGTCCAGCGACGTGGCCACGTCGGCAGATGGCTCTGTACAGCGCGTGTTGTGAGCGGCTCCTGTGTTTTAAGTTTTTTTTTTTTTTGTTTGTTTTCTTCATGTAGTCTTTTAGGAATTGGAGCACACTTTCTGGTCGTGCTCCACAAAAGGGTTTGTTAATCACGGGTGTGACACGTGGCGGCACTCCGCGAACTGCAGGATAAGTTCGCCCTCCGTGGTTCGCGGTTGGAGGGTGGATTGTGGGGAGGGAGGGTGGATAGGTAGGAGAAAAGTCGGTCGCCGCCACAACTTTCTCCGTACTTCAGCGGATTATATGCAATCATTTCTGTTTCTGTGTGAACGTCGTGTGACTGTATGGTTCTTATCGCTCAGCCACTGCTGCTTTTCTTTTGTTGTGTGCGGGTTTATCATGCACGATAATCGTTGACATGATCGTCTGAATTGCGTCCACGGCCTCTATTGTCATGCTCTTGTTATTGCTCATCGCCATGTCGTCCACAACTTCTGTTCATTTTGAACACCACAAATAAAGGAGAAAAAAAAAAACAAACAAACAAACAATGCACGAACCCATCGAAAAAATTACTAGAGGGTTCTCAACCATTTGCCAAAATGTGAACCCATCACGAGAAAAGTGTTTGTTGATTACATTTCGTTCAATGCACGTGGTGGTCATTAGTTGAACATCGAATCTTCACCAACAGCATCAACCGAACGCCGAGTACTGCAGACAACATGCATCACAGACGCTACATGTGGTGGACAGAAAACACGTGTCATGAAAAGACGGACAGCAGCTCGACACACAACGGCGACCTCACACAAATAAATGAAAAAATACAAATATCTTATAATTTGAAGCAACACCGCGATCCAAAGTACATGCGAAACAGAGGGGTGTCGACCTGCTCCGCGCCGCCACCCGACAAGCTCCGAAAAACCCCTCCAACCCCTCTTCCCCCCTTCCCTTTTTCCCATCCCCATGCCCACGGATTTGCGCGGGAACACCGCCACGGCAAGGACGACATCAATGAACAACGAAAAAAATAACAGCGACGTCACTGCCGATCACCTACGACAATTGAGCCGCTTCACTGCCGATCACCCACGACGAGGAGAAGCACACTACCGTCGACTACAACAACAAACACCTACAAACGAGTCGTCCGCCGCTGCAAACCCTGCGAGATAACTCTGCGCGTATTCACGAATGACGCAAGCGCTGCGACTCGACGACGGACGCACACGGCTTCTGTCTATGCACGCGAGGCGGAGTGGCGCGACATGCACGATCAGATGTGTTTCATCCGCTCCGCAAGCGCATTGCGGAGCGCATGTGCGGCGTCTGTCGATGTCAGCATCGTCACTGGCTGCGGTGGACGATGAATCCCCAAGTCCACTCGCCGCCTCACCCCGTTCTCGTCGACCTCCCACAACAAGTTCTCGTCGAACTCGATCCCAGCATCGAGCAGGATGTTGTGGAGAATGCAGAAGGCCGTGAACTGCTGCGGTAGAGTGTCCAAGTTCGTCTTGTGTGACCGCAGGAAGAGCCTCCACATCCCCTTCAACCTCCCGAACGCCCTCTCCACAGCACCTCTAGCGACCTTCTGTTTGTTGTCGAACCTTTCCTCGTCCGGGTGCTGATTGATTCCTCCGTACGGCACCACTATCCATTCCGAAGGAGGATACCCGTTGTCGCCCAAGATGTATCCGTTCGTCCTCACCCCTCCCGACAGCGTCACAGGCGGCCCGTGAAAAAACGTTCCCTCTTCCGCGCGCCTCGACAGACTTGACAGCTGAATCACCCGAATGTCGTGGCAGCTGCCCGGGTAGCCAACGAAGATGTTAAGCACACGCAGATCCAGGTCCACCACCACCTGCGCAATGACGGAGAAACGGTGCTTGCGGTCGAAGTAGTTCTCGCTCGGAGCGTTCGCCGGTTTGTCCACGTAGATGTGTGTGCAGTCAACTGCGCCATGGCAGTTGGGAAAGCCCTTGTCTTGAAACGCACGTAGCACCACGTGTTTACGCACCCCTGTCGGCCACGATATCTTGTCCCCGTAGACCCGCAGCAACGCGGCTGTCACATCGCGCACGGCTCGAACTCCGGATGCTCTGCCAATGYCGAACRATGATGTGTTGTTGTCGTAYGACTCTCCTGTTGCCCACCTATACAGCGCGTACGCGAYGATCTGATCCGGCTGAAGCGGCTCCCTGTAGAACGTGACCTGTCGTTGCAAATGAGGCGCACAGGCTTCGGTGATCTCCATGAACACTCTCCTCGACATGCGGAACTTTTCCCGGAAGTAGTCATCCGTCGCGTCGTCGCACACCCGCAAATCCTCCCAAGTCCTGCCAGTTCTCCGCCTCATCCACCAACGTGGCGTCGCCCTGGGAAGCACACCGGAGCTGATTGCAGTGCACAGCTGAACCACGGCCTCCGAAGTCGTGATGTAGTGTGGGGCGTCCAACACCCTCTACAGCAGAAGCCTGTGTCACCGCCTGGAAAGCACTGCCTTCATGCGGCCCGCCGCCCTCTCTGCTTCGTATCGACGGACTACGGCAACGGCTGTCGCCGTGACAGCTGTCCTCTCCGTCGGCGTCAGCACAGCACGCCCACCCCCATCACATCCCTCCATTCGCGCACGTCCACGAGGAAGAGCAACGTCCACCGCCACCCACCTGCGCGAATCAACGTCCACGGCGACGATCGAAGACGCCTACAACGAGGTGTGGAAGACAGGTGTGATGACAAAATGTACACCGCGATGGGAGCGTTCGTCCTCCGTCCGTGAACCACGGAAGCGCCCTCCGCATGCACGTGGCGAGCGCAGGAGAGGAATTAGACAATTCGTTTTGCCCGCGACGAACACACTGCACACGGTGGCGGCGCGGTGCCGCTGAAGTACAAAACGCGACGTCAAGCCTGCACGCCCGTCCCCCAGTCGACGTGCCCTTCCGCCTGTGCGCCGCCACACCGTCGTTCCGCACGAAGAAATTTCAAATTTCGAAATTCGAACGGGGCCGTTCTCGCGTTCGCAATTTTTTTTTTTCCACGGCCCGTGACGTTTTGCCGCCGTTCGGCTGGTGGACCTGCGCGCCTCGCACACGGACATCCCGAATCGGAGGTCGGACAACACCCTCGCGGCCGTCTATAATCTCATGAAACTGGCCGCGGGACGGCCTCGAGGACGCATCCTCGGGGCTACTCTCCGAGGACAGGTGGAACGACGCCTACAAAAATAAAAAAAAACTTCGAGGATTCGTCCTCGGAGCTCGAGGACGCTCCGAGGAGTGTCGAACGATGCCCTTTGTGAACTCAAAGCCTCCCCCTGCAATCCCTCCTTCCCCCGAACAAGGAATGTGTGCCATCTTGCCTTTCCTTTCTCCTCCCCACCAGTTTGCACAGAAGTTTCTGATATCTTTTTTAATGTCTGCTTTCTGTGTCAAATGCTTTATCTTTGCCAGTACTTTTTTCCATTGCACTCTTACTTCTGTTTCAATGAAATGTCTGACGATGTGTGCCGCTTCCCCTTCCCCCAACCTGGCCCCTTCCTGGTCGAACACACATCTTTTTGTCCGTAACATCCAAATCATCGCCTTCCTAGCCGTGGTAAATAGATTGTTGGTGTAGCCGGGGGCTAGCTGCTTTCCCCATTCTCCTAGTAAGATGGTTTCCCATTTCCAAGGCCATTCCTCCTCAGTGCCCAGTTGGGACCAAATGCGATCCCGCCAGCGCCACATTAATACCGCCCCTGGGCACTAGTGGAAGATGCGTTCTATTGATTCACACACTTTGCGGCTTGGGAATCCTGCATAGCATGATTTACACCATGGGAGAGCATCCCCTTTCTGTTCCAGGTTAGTTCTGTCAATGATCCAGCTGTTGGTGGGGAGGCATCTATGGGTGATCTGCCACTGTAGTGATCCATTCATCATTCTTTTTAGGAGGTCCCTACGCTGAGAGGGTTACCCCCAGCACGCGAATCTGTTCCTCTAGGGGTCTCCAATCCACCTTGGGCTGCTCCGGGGGACGAACCCCATGATAGTGGATCCACCAGCCCTGCGTCTTACTTCCCCAGTTGACGGTCATGTATGACACCCAGGTGAAGCATGTCATCAGGGCTCTGATTTCTTCCATGTTGTTATGTGTAGCCT